CACAGGTGTCGCAGGGTGGGAAGCCCCTCGGCTTGAGTGGCTTCATGGGCATGCACATCCCCCCGCCTGCCGGGCCGCTCTGGATCCTGGGTGACGTCTTCATCGGCTGCTACTATGCGGTGTTTGACCGTGACAACAACAGGGTGGGTCTTGCCAAGGCCGCCAAGCTCTAACTTGCTCCCCTGCCCGCCAGCAGAGAGATGGAGCAGAGTCCAGCAGGAGGCGGCGGCCAGGCCCCTGCCCCTGGCCCCCTCCCCCACTCACACACACTCACGCACTTGTCCGCCCACTGCCCCGCTCCCTGGAGGCCCAAGGCCTGCACTGGGCTCCAGGCCTTGCTGTTTTGTTCTGCGGTTTTTCCCTCCCTGGGTTCGGAAATGCCGCCCGTCAGTCAGCCTGAGGAGGGGGTGGAGGCCGATCCGGGCAGGATCTGTTTCACTCACTTGGAAGACCCAGCACGGGCTTGGCAGCTGAGGAGTTTGTGCATCCCAAGAGCTCTCTCCTGCCCCCCAGGGAACCCTCCTCCCCCTTACCCCAACCCCGGGGCCCTTGGCAGCCAAGCTGCCCAAGCTGCTGCTGGGCCGGGCCCCGGCCTGTGCCAGGCCGTCCTCAAGGACCCTTCTCTGGAAACCTGCCCTGACCAAGAGCTCCTCTGCCCAGCTTGGGGCCTGGAGCTGGGCCTTGCTGCCCCCACCCTCCATTTGTCCCAGGCATATTGAGGACGGGGCTGCAGGAGGCCTGAAGATGAGCTGGCAGGAAGGAGCAGGAGACAGACCCAGCCTGTGGGGTCATCCTGGGGTTTGGCTCCACCCCAGTGGGCATTCTTTGGTCTGGGATAGGGGGGTGGGGCACCTGGGAAGCCGGCACCAACCTTGCCTTGAGGCAGACCCCTGCCGCCCTCCTCCTGGGCCTCTATGAGCCAAAGTTGACATGAAAATACAGTTGTTTGGGCCTCTTCTTCTGTGTTGGCGTATTTTGTGATCGGTGGGGAGGATGCTTCTAAATCAAGACCGGAAGACAGAGCAGGCAAGGCTGGTGAGATGCTGGCAAATCCAGGCTGACTCGTGGCCAGACGAAGGATGCACATCTGTGGTCCTCTCAACAGGTTCTCAGGCCCAGGCCCTCTGCTCTGCACATGGGACCCTAAGGCTGTAACTTGCTGTCTGGCTTTGTGGCCCAGACATTGGCTGGCAGGAGCTGGCTTGTCTAGTCTGTAACAATAACCAGCAAGATGTGGCCTTGGCTGGAGGCTACAGAGTGGGACTGGGTACAAAGTTCTAGTGTGAGTGCCTCTATCAAGGTGCGATTGGCAGGAGATGGTCCAGGTGGGCATCTGCCATGGTTCAAGAAGGATTTTTCCCTTGGGAGAAACAGCAGTGGGAGGACCCCTGATCCCTCTTGCAAACTCTCGCCTCCAGGCCTAGAAAAGATAAGGCATCTGTGAAGGGTTGAGTAGTATAGCAGCTTGCCCCACCTCCAGGCCCCCTTTCAGCCCCTGGAAGCAGCCTTGCACTTGGGTGAGGCTCAAGCCATTGCCAGAGCAAGCCTGCCAGGTCACTACTCATGGTTTTGCGTCAGGAATCCTCTCAGGCCACAATTTCCGTACTCACTGGCACCCTCACCAACTCCTGGGTGGTTTTGTTCCATCAGAAGGGAGTGGGGCTAGGAGTACATGTCCAGGTGTAGCAGCAACAGCAGCAGTGAGTGGGGTTTAAAGGGATGAATAGGAGTTTGTGAGCACTTGGCAGTGGGAACAGGATTCCTTTTGGGATGTATAGCTCTGGGGTCTTGCTTAGAACCCCTCCCCTACCCCAGCAGGTGTAGGAGTCAGGATAAATGGACCCTTCTCAGCCTGCGGTCACAGTGCTTGTTGGCCTCCTAGTCTTAGGATCTCTGGAGACCACATCCCAGAACTGAGCCCCAGCAGGCACCTTCTCAGCGAGCACTTACCCGGGACTATGAGGAAGCTTGTAAATGTGCCCTGTGTTCAGTGCGCTGAAATTTGAGTAGGGTGCTGGGCAGAGACCTGCAGGGCCTGGCAGGGTTTCTGGAGAGATGACTGTCATCAAATGCTTTGTGCACTGAGAGGCCAGGAAAGGGGTTGGAGGGGGGAGCAACTGGATGGAGACAGCACCCCCTCCCCCTTTTTCCTGCTGTCCTCTGCTTGTCCTTGTGGTCTCCAGTCCCCTGCTCTGCCTTGGGGTTGCCCTGAGGAGGGTTTGGGTGCCAATGGGGAGCACAGCAAGTGTGAACACTGGTTCCCTTCTGCCTGGTTCAGCTCTGGCCTTGCCTGGCACCATGCAGTACCCTCTCGGTGAGTGTTTCCTGACCAACACTCCTTGCCTACAGCCATACTCGTCACAAGCTGACCTCTCAGGAGCCCACCTGAATGCAACCCCTCTGCTCGCCTGCTCAGAGCAGAGACCAGTGGGGACTCCTGAAGCCTTCCTGTGTGGGCTCCGGGGACCTCAGAGAGCAGTGGCCTCCAGAGCATCTGGTGCAGGGAGAGGGCCCGACTCCACCTTCACCTTGCTCAGTGACCTTGAACATGCCCTGGCCCCTGTGGGCCCAGGTAGCCCCTCCTGCCGGCTATCCAGGCCTTCCTGCTGCCTAACGATCCACTGGCCTGTGCACTGACCTGGCCTCCTTGGCTGCCCCAAAGCTTCCCATCCTCGGGCAACACCTAGCAGAGGCTGTGTGACAGATGAGGGCCTCAAGGGAGGTGGCCCACTTAGACCCCAGGGAGACCAGGAGGCATGGCACACAGGCTACATGCAGACTGCAGGGCACCTTATATCAGGCCCCACTCCTAGACTCGACTCAAGATGCCAGGTCTGGGTTCCCCAGAAGGAAGGGAAAGGCGGTAGGACTGGGCGAGGAAGAACTGAACCTTGGTCTGGCAGATGCCAACTGCCAACCCTAACTTTAGACCCGTGGGGACCTTCCTGCCCACATTATGCAAAGGGTGTGGCCAGGGTGTCCGAGGACAAGGGGAGGGAGGGCTCCCTGTGCTTGAGAATTCCTCCCACTCACTGTGGGTTTTATCATCATTTGGGATTACCTTCTTGCTGCGGGTTCCTGCAGTGCCATAGATGAGGCTGTGCCAGGGGTCAGCCTGGGGTAGCGGGGTGGGGACTGGGCTGAGAAGGGGAGGGACTTGGGGAGGGGGTGGGGCTTATCTAGAGGAAAAAGGTTCAGAGGAGGGCTCAGGGTTCAGAGAGCAGAGGTTTGGAGAAAGAAGGGTTCAGAGAGGCCCAGGGGCTCAGGCACAGGCATGTGAGCCCTGAGGGTTAGGAGGGGGGTCCTCGAGAAGGACCCAGGCTTGGAGAGAGGAGGAGGCATTGTGGAGAGAAGTGAGGCAGATTGAGAGGCACAGAGGAGAATGGGCTCCATAGGAGGAAGAGCTCATAGCTAGGACAGGGGCTTGAACAGGAGAATGGGGACTCAAGGGATGAGAGAGGAAACCGGGGGCTCACTGACTTCAGCACAGCTTTGGGGAGGGATTAGGAGAGGCTCTGGGCTTCGTGGGGGCCAGCAGTTTGGTGAAAAGGACCCAACTCAGAGTGGGCACCTACATGGTAGGGGAAGGGACTCCAGGCAGGGAAGGCTGGGGAAGGGGCTCCTCAGGACTTTTACAGGGCTGGGTGATCACTCAGGGACCATGTCTAAGAATGAGAATGGGTGTGGTGGAAGGGGGTCAGAGGGGACCAAAGCTGGAAGGGCAGCCATTGGTTAGGAGGTCTATGGGGAACAAAACATCCTCAGGGGACCAGGACCCTGGTGGGATGGGTAGGTCTCACAGAGAGGTTGCAGACTGAGCTCCAAGGAGATAAGTGTCATTAGTGACCAGGACTTGGAGCAGGACACCTGGCCCTACAGACAGAGGGGAACTTTAGGGTCAGGCTCACTGGCCAGAGGCCATCTGCTGAGGTCTAACTTCGTGGGTGAACCAGGTTAGGGAGGGCAGGGCCAAGCTTGGTGGGGCCAGATTTGGAGCAATGGAGGCAGGAGCTCCAGCGGCAGTGGGCACAGTCAGGGTCCTGCAGCTTAGTGAAGGGCCTGGACTTGGCAGGCTTAGGAGGCAAGGCTCTGGAGAGTGGCCCCGGGAGTCAGGGGCCGATTAGGGACAAGGCCTGTGCAAAGACAGGAGCACAGGTGGGCGCTGGGCTCGGTGTGGGGACCAGGCTTGGTGAGGGTCTCAGGCTGCCCCCCAACCCTCCACCCCTGGCCCACCTGTCTCTGTGGGATATCCGTCCTTGGTGAGGCTTACTCACCCACTGGGACTAGGGCTTCGTGGGGAGGGGCAATGACTGAGATGCAGGGGGTTGGGGTGAGAGTCAACAGGCCCAGAAGGCACAGGGCCACAGGGGAAGGAGCCTCAGAAGGCAGCAGGTCCTGGAAGCTGGAGGCCAGGGGGAAAGAGCAGAGAAAGGAAGGGCTTCTCCCTTGAGGAGGCAGATGGGAATGAGGGGCAAAGGTGGGGATGGACTTCTATGGGAGCTGGGGGTTCAGCTAGAGGACGGGGCGGGAGGGCGTGGGGAGGAGGTTCTGTGGGGCGGAGAGATGGAAGTGGCACGGGCACCGGCATCGGGCTGTAGCGGGCCCATTCCTGCCCGGTCCTGCATCCCCAGGGTCGCGGCTTCCGGCCCGGCCCGCCGCCCCCACCTTCCCCGCGGGGGGGGGGCGCGCCCGCCCGCCG